GGGGGGGGGTGCCATGGGCCTGAAGCCTCTCCCCGCGATTTATCCGGAGCCGCCGGCACCACCCCCTCTCAAGTCCACGGCGGGTTCCCTCTCACCTCCCCGCGGCATCGCGGCGGCTGGGGCTGAGATCGGATGAGGCGAAGGCCCAGGCGCTGTCGGTGTCAGCTCCTCCTGTCTGTCTCTATCTCTCTCCCTCCCGCAGCGGCGGCGGCGGCGGCGGCGCGATCAGCGACTGTCCCCTTCCCCCGCCCCGTACAACCCGACCGGAAGCTGAGGCCACCTCCGTTCCGGAAAGGGTATGTGACTGACAGCCTACTTCACCAATCAGCCACCGGGTGACCTCATCCCGCGAGCCGGCCAATCAGAGGACGAGGCCGCCCGTCGTGCGACACCGCCCCCGTCAATGGGCCCTCGCGCGATTGGCGGGCCTTTCAGCCAACCGACGGAGAGGAGTCTGCGTCACGTGACGTTTTCATTGATAAAATTATTGGGCGGGAATGTTGGGCTGAGATTGACCAAATGGGGAAGGTTAACTTCAACCTTTAACCCCCTTTGGAGGGGTCAAACCCAATACTTGGCCAAATTTTGGGGGCAATAGTAGGGCCAAACTGAACAAACCCACACTTAATTGCAGCTGATGGACAAGAAAGGTGCTCTGAGCCAGGAACCATGACCAGTGTGAAGAGCTCACTGGGAGCACATTAGTACAGACCTGATGGGCCGAAGGGCAACTTCAGTTCTGTATGATTCTGAGACACACGGAGCCCCAACATGGAAACAGAAACAAAAGTTGCTGGAGCACCTCAGCAGGTGTGTCAATTTCTGTGGAGAGAGAAACAAAGTTAACAAAAACAAAGTTGCTGGAAAAGCTCAGCAGGTCCGGCAGCATCTGTGAAGGAAAAAACAGAGTTAATGTTTCAGTTCCGGTGATCCTTCCTCGGAACATCTGAAGAAGGGGTCACTGCACTCAAATATTACCTCTGCTTCTCTCTCCACAAGTACTGTCAGACCTGCTGAGTTGCTTCAGGAATTTCTGTTTATGTGTGCAATTTCTAGCATATGCAGTTTTTTGTTTAAGTGTGGAAACATTTAAAATAGGAGCAGGAGTAGGCCATTCAGCCCTTTGAGCCTGCACCACTATTCAACATGATCATGGCTGATAATCTAACTCGGTCCTCTGTTCCCTGCTTTCTCCCCATATCCTTCGATCCCTTTAGCCCTAAGAACTATATTTAATTCATTCTTGAAAGCAATCAGTGTTTTGGTCTGAACTACTTTGTGTGCCAGAGAATTCCACAGGCCCACCACTCTCTGGGTGAAGACATTTCACCTCATCTCAGTCCTAAATGGCCTTCCCATAAAATCCTTAAACTTTTAGCCCCTGCTTCTGGACTACCCTCGTCACTGGGAGCATCCTCCTGAGTTTGCCCTGTCTAGTCCTGTTAGAATTGTTGAGGTTTCTATAGATCCCCCCTCATTCTTCTAAACTCCAGTGAATATAGTCGTAATTGATCCAACCTTTCTTCAAACATTAAGGCAAGCAACTGAGCTCCCTGAGAACAAAATCCACACCACTTCCCCCAACATCTTCCAATCCCATTAGGTCAGCAGGTTGAATTTGAATTCTGATAACAAAAACCTGGAATATCTCAGCCATGGAGACCATGAAGCCTAGCACTGATTGCAGGAAAAAACCCACCTGGTTCACTCATGTCCTTTGGGGGTGAGAGAGCGATGGTGAAGTTTAAATTCAATACAAATCTGGAATGAGAAAACCTGATTAGGGTCTAGGCCCGAAACGTCAGCCTTTCTGCTCCTGTGATGCTGCTTGGCCTGCTGTGTTCATCCAGCCCTGAACCTTGTTGTCTCTTAATGGCGAATACCATCGATTGTTATAAAAACCCATCTGTATCAATAATGTCCATGTAGGGAGGGAATCCATTGTTTTATGCAGTCTGGCCTACATGTTGCTCCCAACCCAAAGTAATGTGCTTGACTTTTCACTCTTCTCCAGGCAATTAGGGATGGACAATAAATGCTGAGTCTCACCAGCAACTCCCAAATCCCATGAATAAATAAAAAGAAATGAAAGATGTCCAGTGCTATCATCTCCCCACGTAATCTGCTATCACTCCGAGCTGTTTAGACCTCTTTCCTCTAGCCATTTCTACACAAACCACCTTGAGATGGAAATATATCACTTTTCCTCTAGTGTTGCTAAATCCTGGAACACCCTCCCTAGCAGCATTGTGGGTCTATCTACAGCACATGGACTGCAGCGGTTCAAGAAGGCAGCTGACCCCCACCTTCTCAAGGGACAGCTAGGGATGGGCAATAAATGCTGGCCCAGCCAGCGATGCCCAGCTCTACTAAATGAATGAACAAAACAAAATAACACAAATTAAAGTAATGTAGATGTAAATTGAAAACACGCAATACCGAGAGTCAGAAAATCGTCATTTGGAAGACTCATTCCCTTTTATTGAAGCATCAGAAGTATTTAATTTACACTCAAATATTCTTCAAATAATATTTACAGGGGGCTAAGAGTCGGGGGGGGTGGGGTTGCGGGGTGGGGGGACATGTATAAAGTGAAAATGATAGGTACCAGGATTGTAAGTTAATTTCCAAGAAGGGAGTGAGGATGATATATCGCTTTATCCGAAGTGAGAGCAAAGGCAGATTTATATTTGATTCAGGAGACATGAAGTGCAGCTCGGTCCGGTCTTCACGAGAGATCCACTTGCTTTCCGGCAAAGGGAATTCAATCGCGATCTGGAGCAGGGTTTGCAGTAGCTTCTCCACTCGGCTACCTGCGGTGCTGAGGTCAATTGCAGCGTCCACTATGATGTCAGGGAGGTGTGGCTCAATCAGGGCCACTCTGACCATGATACAAGAC